GGGGCGCTGAGGAGGCGCTATTTTATTTAATTCTCACAATAATAACGCTCAGGGAACAGTAAAGCGCTCATCATAGAGTCATAAGGGTTGAAAGGAACCTTGGAAGATCAAACCCACCCCCCCCAGACCGCTGAGCCTCAGGCCTTTCCAAGTCTTGACTCGCCTGAGGTAAATTCTTGTTTCTTCTGTAAAACCGCAAACTTTTCTGCACCTGGTTCTTCTGTGATGCCAAAAAAAATTACATTTTGTTTGAAGATAGTCATATTTTCCTCGTGTTTCTTTCCTCTCTGCCTCCAGTTGACAGGCGGGAGTTGCCGTGGCAACAGGGGGCGGGTTGGGGGGGGCGCTGAGGGGAGGCGCTATTTTATTTAATTCTCACAATAATAACGCTCAGGGAACAGGAAAGCGCTCATCATAGAGTCATAAGGGTTGAAAGGAACCTTGGAAGATCAAACCCACCCCCCCCAGACCGCTGAGCCTCAGGCCTTTCCAAGTCTTGACTCGCCTGAGGTAAATTCTTGTTTCTTCTGTAAAACCGCAAACTTTTCTGCACCTGGTTCTTCTGTGATGCCAAAAAAAAATTACATTTTGTTTGAAGATAGTCATATTTTCCTCGTGTTTCTTTCCTCTCTGCCTCCAAGTGACACCCCAGCTGGGGAACAAACCAGCCAGGGTCTGTGGGAGCTTGGAGGGAATTGGATGCTCAGTTACACCACATGTAGGTGAAAAAGGATTTTGAGAAGCTTATTTTTTTGGAAGAGGACAAAAAAATGGGAGTTGCATCAGGAGATTTTTTTGCCCCGGGATGAAGAGTCATTAGACTAATAATATATGAATACACACTATGCACAGTGCAGCGTAGTTTGACTCAGCGAGTGAAAGAATCCCATAAAAGGAGGACAACAGGATGTTCTTAAGACATAAATTGGTCTGTGTGAACCAGGTATAGAATTAACACATTTCCATAAGCACTGCAGATAATTATAAAGCAATAAAACAGATCAATTTTTAATGCATATGAGGCAGATATGTTTCAGAATATATCTGTAAATACAGTATTTATTTATAGGTGTTTGAACATAAATGATGTTTTGTATTACTTAATGGACACTATTTCATAAATAATTGGATCATAAGTCTTTTTGTAGAAAATATGCATATTTTGATTTTTAGGACATGCTTCATTTTGTTCACCTGTCTGTGAAATACTTTCACACACGCCTGGCAAATCTTAAAATCATTATAGTACACAATGTCAGCATTTGCACTAAAAAACTCAGAGATTGGTTGATGAAAAAGTTTCACCATAAAAACAATAGTGCAAGATAATCAAAGTGTTCTGAAATACCTTTGCATAAAACCCTTTTAGTGGTTCTCTGGCAAGTTTTGTTCCTTGTCCCTCAGTGCAGATTTTCTTAGCAAATGCTACCCTAATGTCTTCCAGCCACCACTTTCAGAACATAAAAATGCTCCCTTGCTTCTTTCATCTTGCATTTCAAGATGTTTAATTTGTAGTTTGTGAAAGCACATAGATTAGCATATCAATCAAATTAGGAGAAGCAGTTTTGTCACTGTAGTAGCTTCTCTCATCCTTAAGGTCCCCAAAGTATCCTCAAGTGAATCCTTCACAGCAGTGCCTACTTTCCAATCAGCAATTTGAAGTATGAAGGTAGTAATCAGTAACTTCTGTATTTCTAACAGTAAGGACTTCCTAATAATAGCCTTACTAAGTAATTAGTACACTTTTAGACATACAGGTTTCTAAGGCTGCATTTTTCCAACTTCTATTTGGAGTCTGTAACTACTAAGAGAGTTCTTAAGGTCATCACTGCCTTTCTGTATTGCTTCTCATGCACATCTTCGTGGAGTGCACCACTTAAAAGCTGTGGAGTTGGAAAGTATCTGCAATATTTAACACTTTAAAATACTGTTGTTAGGAACCTCTACTACTTAGATACAAAACGTTCCAGAGGTGCCATCTAGCGGGGCAGCAAAGCCTGCGTGTCGCTGCATGTTAATGCAGTGATGCGACAGAGGAGGTCTGCTGCATTAATTTGTTATTTGTATTAGAATAACATAGCAACAGTAATTGTTTTCAAATCTAAATTAAAACTACTCAGTGCCAGAATTTGTTATTTATATTAGAATAACATAGCAACAGTAATTGCTTTCAAATCTAAATTAAAACTACTCAGTGCCATAAGAAAAACACCATCAGGATCCATAGAATAAATACCAGGTATTTTACTGCTAGTCCCCCACATTTTCCTACCTGTAGAAGGAATACTAGGTCTTCATATTTTGTAAACTAGCTTAAATTTATATAGTCCTCTAGTAACTTTAGGGCAGGCAATATCTGCACAGAAAGCCCTCCAAGCTTCAACAGATTGTGTCTGCCTCTGGAGGTAGCTCTAGGAATTCTGAACTAACAAGAATTATCAGAAAGGTGATGTTACTTATGTTTTTAAAAGTCATGCATTATTTTATTTATTTCTTTTTTACAGAAAGCAATCCAGTTACTAAGCTTAAGCTAGTGGAAGGAGTTGGTTAAGATCCCTGCAATGTTAATTTTACCAACAACACACAGCAATTCCTTCACATGTAGCTACCAAGTTGATCTGACCAACTCCATGTGTTTACACAAGGCAGAAAAAACCTACCTCTCTATGGAGCACTACACAAGGTCAAAAAGAAAAGCATTTAACCTAATTGAACAGATGTATGCAAATAAGTTAACTAAAGCAGCATTGTTTTCACTCTGAACATGTGCTTAAGGAGTTTAATTACTTTGCAGACTGGAATCTATATGGATCACTCAGACCTATCTTCATTGTTCTGGGATTTGATCACAGGCTGGTTTCCTCTGGTAAGCTGAACTTAATTATTTTGGGAACAAAGCAGCTATGGCACAAAACAGGATCTTACATCACATTTAAGATACAAGCCATTGGAGTTAACTAATAGTCTGCATATTCAAGGAAGTGCTTTAAATAATAAGTCTCTATCCTTTGTTGTCTGCTTCCTTTGTTGTTTTCTTCATTTCTCCAACATCATTCCCCCCGTTTTCTATGATGTTGTCTTCTGAATAGGCAATTTTTCTTGTTTTGATTTAGATTGTTATGTAACTAGAGACACAAGCTATATGTCCCTCTAAAAACACATTCAGAAGTCAGGTACTTAAGACTGGTTTGGTTTTAGGCATTTATTAACAAAAATCAGATTTTTAACACTGGCAACAGCAGACTTATTTCCTGAGCCAGAAACATCAGACCATTTAGGTTAATAGGTACACAGAGTAGGATCTGGTCCATGCAGCCATCACAGGACTCGATGTTGCATGGTCTCCTGTGTGTAGCTGTCTCATCCTATAGGAACCAGGACACGTGTTCAAGCTCTCTTGAAGACCTGTTTACATACCTGATTCTCACAACGAAGCTCCTACAAAACAGAACAAAAACCAACAACAAAACAGAAGTGTAGAAGTATATACTAATCAAAGGAACTGCTTCTGACAGTTAATATAGATCCTTTGCCATGACTACTGACCACCACTCTGCTGCCATGCTAATCTTTGTGCTTAACATTCTGAATTTAACTGTACATTACAGTGAAACTATGGAGTTGTTCCAGCTAGACTAAAATAGAGCAGAATGTGTTCACCATGTACCATTCATAACATATATTACAGCATTAGAAGCAGACTTCTGCATACCATGACCACATTATAAATCTTGGTTTTGTCATACAGAGACAGAATTAGTAGAAATCAGAAGTAAATACCAGGTGGAGGTCATCTCCTTCAAGCCAGTGAGTCCAGCCCCTGTTCTTCTTCTCACCAGTCTGGACACAGACAAGTTTGTCATTTTCCCAGGTAACTAGACTCTGTGGAAGATGAAACAAAGAAGTGTTTCTGTAGGTCTCAGTTCTGCAATATACTTCTAGGCAATGCCCTTTTTTTCCTGGATAAAAAGGGACTTAAATACCTCTCCTGAGGGAAAGTGGAACTCCTTATTTGTAACTAAGGCAGCTACCTCTACACTGCATTACAAATACTATTCTTCAAACAATTTCAGCTCAAGTACTTGGAGTGACCACGGCAACTTAAGTTTGTCACAGCCTCTTGATTTTGTATGTTCAGTCTTACCTTGCATTTTCTGTTATCCAGGCCCTTATTATCTTCTTCAAACTCTTCGCCAACTTTGAATTGAAGCAAATAATCTCTGAATGTGCTCGTGGTATGGATATAAAATGAATCACCATCTTGTTTGATCACTTTCTGAGGCTTCAGCACCTTTGCTATCTTGCGTGTTGCAAAGTCAATACCTTGGACAGGAGACAAAAAGGTCAGAGCTGTATTTCTCACCAGCTATTTTGACAGCCAGGACTTACCTGTACTACTAGTAGATGGATTTCTGAGATAGTCTGACCTTTTTGCTGTACAAGGTTTTTGTTGTTTGAGTGGGATTTTTTTGGTTGTTTTTGTTTAAAGCTTTATGTTACAAAGATCAAGTCATGTTCTTGTACATTTTACTCTTTGGAAACCTTTACTCAATTGTTGCACAACTCCTATGGCAGATTTCTAGGACTTAAATCCTAAACTGGGAGGAGTCCCTTTGAGAGTGTGAGAGATTAGTTTTCCCTCATGCAGACACCCCAAGCTTAGTCTTAAGATTTAACCCCTGCTTAGCTAGAGGGAAGAGTTAATGCCTTTTCTCATCCTTTGTCAGAAGAAAGGCATTCTGTAAAGTAACAAGAAACCTTTGCACCCTATACCCTAAATACAATAAAATGAAAGGCAGTCCTTAAATTAATTACTCAGCCTTGTTTTGAGGACATGCCACTTCCTATTAACACTTTTTAGGTGCAACTAAAACACATCACACTCGTCAAAAGATTTCCTGCTTATCTCTAATGATCCAATATAACAGAATCCTGATGTTCTTAAGAGTTTTTCCTAATTATCTAGGGAATATTTGTTTAATTAGAGGAAACCATGGTTACAAGGTTAGTTTGTTTTAGCAGAGGGTTTTGAATTCAATACTAGCAACAGCCATACTCATTAAACTTTAACATAGCTATAAGAACATATAAATACAAAGTATATTACTTAAGTATTCACACTAAGGAGTAAATTCTCATTGTAGGAGCACCCTTTTTTTTTTCTAATTGATAACAGCAGAATTAGAACCAGAGAAGGTTTTTTCACCAGAGAAGGGTTCTTTCACCATGTTAACAATACTAAATAGACAATTTAAGTGTAGATACAGCGAGAAAATTTCTTTTATTCTAGTTGTGTATACAGTAACCAGCAAGAGACAATAATACTGTCGTTGGCTGACACAAGTCAAAAAGGCAAAAAGCAGTGGGAGAGGGAGAACAGGCAGCACAGAAGGTTGCCTGCTGTCACAGTCTGCAGTGAGTTTTGTACAAGAAAGCTAATGAAGTACCAAGAACTTTCTTAGTTCCCCATTAAAGCACCATTAATCTCTGTCTGTAAAAGATCTGAGGAGGTAAGAGCTTCAAGCACTCCAGAAAAGGGACAGTTAGAGAGACTTATCAACAAATCGCAACAATGAGGGAAGTCCTTTGTAAGCTGTTCAAGATAAACTACACTAAGCTAAACAACTGTCTGGAAGGGGCAAATACCCAAGCACTTTGTTAACTAGCACTTAATTACCATTAGAGGTTCTGCAAGTTTGTGCTCAAGAGCAAGAGAAATTGAGCAGAGAGACCAAACTCTTCCCTGTTTCTGATGAAAACTATACAGAATTTCTACTTTTAACAAGTACTAGGCTTGAGAAATTTCTGAAAGCTGCAAGGACACTTGATTGACAGGCTGTAGTGCAGTTAATGCTGTCAGTTTATCAATTATCAAAGATCCTTCCATTGTTTTTCAGAGGAAAAAAAACAAACAACAAAACACTTTAACAATATTTAGGTTATAGAAGAACTCAGACTCCTAAAACTTAAGGGGACCTTGATGCGTGAAGTGAGAAAAGACAGAATCAGGGATTTTCACTTACCCAAAGCCACCATATAACCTTCAAAGTTGTCATTGCTGACAAGGTTCCAGGTTCCACTGAAATCCACAGGCATTGCCAGACGGTGGAAAGAAGAGTTACTCAAGCTCTGACCAAAAAGTAAAAATAAAGTAGTTTTTCAACCAGGCCTTATATAAGGCAGAGTGTGGGTGGGATTACATCCTAGAGCCTTCCTGATGGCGGGGAAGGGTCCTAGTGCTGAGCCAATAGGTGAGAGGGTATCTGTGGATCAGCTTCAGCTGGGCTGGAGGGAAAAGTTCACAATCTCTGAAATCTGTGTGTGGAGCAAATGTTAATAACCCAAGAGTCTCAGTGCAAACCAAAAACTGGTCTTAGACCATTTGTGTCCGACTTGTGTGCACGTAAGGAAATCTGTTACAGATTTTGTCATTATTACCATTCCCTGCATGTGTATTAGATAAGTGGCTTTACAATCTGAAATTTACATATTTGTTGAGAAGGTGATCTGCCCACTGTACATGTCTTGTATTTGAACAGACAGGGCTTAACTGTTGAACTGTGGATGTTCAGGTAATTTTAGAGCAGTACCTATGACACATCAATAGAAATAAGGATTTTATCTTGCTGGCAAATGTCTGCAGTGAATAGTAGGCAATAGCATTGTGTAGTGGTTATAACAGAAAGCGAAAGACAAACTTTGTTTCTATGTTACTCTCTGATGCGACTCTCAATACAGCTCTACCATAACAGTTTACTCTTTGTGTCCCTGTTTCTTTAATGCTATTTATATCCTAGTTAAATGACCATACATATATAAAATTCTTCATTTTCTCAGATGCCTTACCAGCCAGAAATATAGTATTTTAAAGAGAAAATTAAGTTTTCCTGAACTTTAGCTACATTTTTGGAGCTGACAGTTGACCTATATGACTCACAGAATCATGTGAGTAGGGAAGCAGGACGTCAACGCTGGTTTCCTGTTTGCAGATGGGTAACGTTGTCTAATCTATCCTAAACTAGGAATGGCACAGAGAAATGCAAATTAATATTTCCCCTGGGCCTAAATAGTAACTTTTCACCCATAAATTATTATGTGGTTATAGTAGTAAAGCATTGTTGCACTACTACTGACTCCTCCAAGTAAAGAGAAGTCAGTACTTGGATAAATCCTCTATAAAAGCCTGGATACAACATTTTAATTGAAAATGAAGATTATGCAGATTGTCTGCATCTCAGTGATGTAAAAAAAAAACACAACTTTTTTGTTGGCAGAACATCTGTGAATGCATTATAACTTTTATGAACTGCATGATTCACCAACTTTAATTCTTCAAGTATATAGATGTTAGATCTAGTTCCCTCTTGAAAATTTTATCTGGCCACACCACTGACTGTGATGCTGATATTTACAACAGATTGGAACAGTAGATGTGTATGCTTACTCCTAGTGTTGTAACAGGCAGGTTTCTGGATCCCACTGGTAAAACAGATCCATACTCGGCAGTCAAGTGTAGTTTTTGAACAATATTCTGTTTTGTACAGACAAAACTGTACTGACATCATTCTACCCACTTAAAAATTATGCAGTCATCAGACTTAAGATTTGGTTAATAACATGATGACTAAAATTAGCGTGTTACTTGCAATTTATTTTATTTAAAGACCCATCACACTCTAGAAATACATACCTATAACTACATTAAAACCCAGTAAGATATAACTGTTTGAAGACCAAAGCTTTATAAAGCATCCTATTGAATTTGCATCTTCTCTGGAATTACACAAAGTATATCAACACACACCAGCATCATTATTTAGAGAATAAACCTAGACTTAAAGTGCAGTTTTACTCTGAAAAGTGACCACATTAATAGGGTGCTTTCCCATTAGAAAGATCTGCTGTTTATTCAGAAGCACACTGGTTGACTTGAGGGCTGACAATAAATGTCTTGCCCTGTATTCTCAGTGATAAAGACAGAGAGCAAACAAAAGAGAAAAGTGGGTGTTGTCCTTTCCTACACACCATCAATATGACAGTTATCCTCAGTCATAGAAGTCTGATTGCTGAGGTGTCACAGGGGGTATAATTTAGCTTCAGTACCTTTATTACAATTGATGATAAATAAACTCAGCCTCATTAGCAAGGTGCAGTGTAAGCTTGCCTGAGCTCAAGGGGGAAAAATGGCAGACTGAGCACATTTGATGCAGGAAAGACCAAGAAAAAAACCCAGGAATTCTTGATGCCACTTTCTGTCACAGTTCAGTTTTATTACACTCATCTTCTTGTAGATTTTCTGTAGAGAGCCACCTTTATAGGCTGGAACTAGCAGAACAGAGATGTTCTAGTGTTGGTAGCTGCAGAATTTCATGTGGGGCTCGAAGTTTTCATGCCTGACACTAGCTTCACCACAGGTTACAGCTTTTCTTGAGAGTGTATCAGCTCCCCTGCTGGGTTTTGTATGAGCCTTGGAGGCCCTAGGGCCACCCATGATTTTCTGTGTTTAGCATCCAGCTTCCAGTCTCCCCCTAAGCTCCTAGGGGAGCCTAGACCTCTGCCTCAGCATTTTTGGGGATCCCCTGCCCAGGGAAGGAGGATGACAGGTTGTCACAATGATGATTCTGGAATATGTCCCTGGTTCTATCATTATGCAACAGCATCTAGGCTTCCTGCCCTGACAGTCTCACATTCACTGGATTTGTTGATCTGAAAAATGTGAAGAGTCACAGAGAGCGTATGAAAAAGCTATTGGCTCTTGATATAGCATCTTGGAAACCCAGACATTTTTGACACAAAATGCAAAGAAAAATGGGATGGTGGAAAAGAGAGGTAGAATGCTATCACCATTACATTCATAGTGCCTCTCCAGGTTTTTTTTTTTCACATAATGCAGGCAATATATTGTTAGATTCAAAACCAAATCTTTCTAGCAAAGAAAAACATTTCACTTATGTACAGTCTTAATATCCTACCATTTCTGCTCAACTCCAGTTACAGAAAACAGTTCTATATACATTTGGCTTAAATGTAAAAGCTCATTTATAATTTTAAATAAAGGGATGATTGTCCCAGAATCAGTGCAATGATACTATATTAACTTCTATCAATTAAATTGATAGCTGTAAATCAGTCTGTCCTTCTGTTAGAAACAGCGCTGAGCTTAACATCCAGCTCTGAAAACAGGAGTGGAAAAGTAAAGCAAAAGGCATTTCTGGGACTAAATTATATAATGGCAGATGAACAGGCTGCATATGTGAAAGGAAGGCAACTCAAAACAAACAAAACCCAAGCCCTAGAAAACACATTTTAATGTACTGAAGCTTCTTTCACAGCAGAAATTAAGTTGTATAGTGCCTGTTAGTTCTTGGAATGACTTGCATATTTCTGTAAGGGGGCCAGGACAACCCCAGCATTCCTGTCTTCACTCTCTGTACTGTACAGATCATGTTTTTCTATGTATGCTTGAACCACATCAGGCACAAGGTAGCGAATGCTCTGACCCCTCCGCAGTGCTCTTCTAATCTTGGTGGAAGAAATGTCATTTGTGATCCATTCTTCCACAAGGTGAATGTTATTCCTATGTCTCCACAAAAGATCAGATTCATAGATGAATTTCTGAATGTTGTTTCCAGCCCTACTGATGCATACAAGGCCATGATTTTCCACAATTTCAGTGATGTCCTCCAACTTCCATAGATTTGGGATCCCAAAAGATTCCAGCATGTCACTTCCACAAAGCAGTTTAACCTGTGGGACATCTTAAAAAGAAAAATAAGTGAGAAACAAGGCTTCGTTTAGGCCACCAGATTTTATCCAACTCAATGGGGATGTTTAATTTCTAGGCCACTTCTCTGCATCTTTGGTTGAGACAATGGAATGAAATAACAACAAGATTCAGAGTATGTAATTTATATTTAGTAGCCTCAATACAGGATTTTTGTAAAAAAATGTTATGGGAGTCCATTTGTTCAAAAAGACTGGAAAATTTATGTGCTCATTTAGCCTTGGGGTAAATCAATCACTGTGAGGATCAAAGTAAAAGAAAATATAGAGAACACTTAAGTGTAAAAGGATACTGTAAAGCTGTTAACTTTCATTCCAGATAGTTACAGAAGGGAAGCTAGGTCTTACAGGACAGGGAGCAGAGGGGATTTTGTAAAAGGAAAGAAAATACAACTAAAAAAACCCAGTATCTATTAAACTTTAGAACTTGGAAAGGCTTGAGGGAAAAAGTTAGAATATTTGCTAATATAAAGGATTAACGTGGTCATTGATCAAGGTCAGTCAAAGTCTATATATATACATATAAATGTACATGTTAAGCTAAAGAACTAAAATTAAGATCTAAAAGCAATAAGCAAAATAAATGCTACCTAAAATTACAAAACCAAGCTATGTCTTTTGTATGGTGTTTTCAATTACAATTTAAAATTATCCTGTATCCAGATACATTTTGAATTTCAAGACTTAATCCTGCCCTTTCTTTCTTCAGCAACTCATAATATGATCCAACATTCTCAGCTGTAACTACAATTTAGCAAAGTTATGCAGGTAAAATGAAGAGCTCAGACATGTTTCAGTTCAAATTTCTATTATCTTGACTATTTTTCATGCCCTAGATATTTAATCCTTAGTCTCCCTACAAAGCCTACATCTTTATGCTCTGGGATCTCGGGGAATAAACTTATTCATTGAAATCAGAACTAAGAACTAACATCTAAAAAGTTACTCAATAGTGCCATTTAATTTGCAAACAGACTTAACTTTTTATATCTGGACTCTGATTTTTCTTTTTAATGGGGTCATGTCTGTTTGGTTCATGTTTCCTCTTCCGTCCTGGCTTTGTTAAAGGTACAGCATTCTGCAGACTATTAGTAGGATCAGGAGATAAAAGCTTTTGATGATGGTACCTGCAAAACAATGTATTTTAAGTATGTTAAAAATGTAGAATATAGGGATCTACTAAATAATTGTTCACCACTTCCTCCTGCAGTACTTTTGCAATCCATTCAAGAAATGATCTGCTGGGACAGGGACTTGTAAGAGTTGGGTCACAAGATGGTCAGAATGCAAAGGTTTCAAAGCAACAACCACAA